TAAAGTTTTGAATGACCAATTTTATGATAACAAGAATCTAAGTGAATTTGTAAGATAAAAAAGTCAAGAGAATGATATTTCCTTGAAACTATGTGTCTCTATGAAGCTGCATCACAAGGCCACGCAAGGGTAGATAAAAATTCACCACAACCTTTCAGAGAGTTGGCATTAAGAGACTGAATATCAGTGTGAGCAATGTAATAGAGCCTTGTTACCAGTGTAGTTGGTCAGGAGCCAACACTTCCAAGCAGACCTGAAAAGCATGTTATATGCTGGTGTGACTTTCAAGTTACAAAGATGTCTTCAGTACTGAGATACCTGATTTGCTTCCTGCAGCTAAGGCAGAAGGAACAAAATCATCTATTACATCTATTATTGAAGGAGACAGAACACTTGGCATTTTGCTGCTTCATTCTCATCATTGCCTACATGGAATTTTGGAGGATAGATTTGAGACTACTTAATCGACATCAGCTGACTTACACTTTTTAAGTCCTGTATTGACTGGGTTGCACATACTTTGTTTATCTTTTGTTACCCTATATACACTGTCTAAATTGGCTTATGTCCTTTGTCACATTGTTGATGGAACATTAAGTAATATTTTCATTCCAGGGATTCCATAATTGCAGAATTATTCCAAGCTGCAAACACACTCATGAATATAAAAAAATTAAGCATTCAATGAAACTTGGAACTGCTGTACTTATACTAAAAGGGTTTATGTTATAATTTTTAATCAATGGGATCTAGAGCACAGAGAACATTGTGTTGTGGAGAAAAAAAGCACAAAACCTAAAACTGCACATCAATTATACACTATGTAATCACTTTGAACTATTTACATACCTCCACATTCATGTTTTTTTATAATATTTGCCTGTTGACATGGGTTTCTACTGTAATGTGATTATGCAGTGGTAAGTGTTTGGGGGATGACAAAATCCATGAAGTGGTAAAACAAAGGATGTCTCTCACTTTGGACTCACATAAAACCTAACAGGATCTAGTCCTGCATTTGCTGGTTTTACATAAGTTCCTCTGAACATTAAGAAGTTAATAGTGATTAAATTTAGGTTGAAAAAAATGTTGAAGATTAATTTTCCTGATGATAAGTAGCTAAATTTATCCTTCGCTAATCAAATGTTGCAAACACTGTAAATGTTCACTATAGTGAAGGTATTGCTTTCATGACAGAAGCCATTAGTTTAGTTTTAGGAGAGAGTGACAGTGAAGGTATTTTTTACTTTTGCCACCCTCTGCGTGAGACATCAGACTCCTTCAGCCTGATTCTCATGGCTATTTAGCAAAAGCAAGAGCTTGAGGCACTGTTCAAAGAGTATAGGATATGGGATACCTTGCCTAACATTTCTCTCTTGAAGACAGTATTATATGATCTGTGCTGTTAAGTGATATTGTGCAATTATCCTAAAAGCGTAGCTGCACTACTTACTTCACCATCCTCTGTGACACTACGTTGGTGGGTTTTTAAAAATATTGTGTGAAAGTGATGCTGCATGAACTTTATACTTAATAAAGTCTTTTTTTTTCCACAAGATGAGGCTGCATTGAATATAATTGCACTGTGTGGGGTTAACTTTCTGTAGCCTGTTCCCTTTGACTTCAATGGCTTGAAATAAAAAATTAATCTCTCACAACGAGACTCACTTCTGATAACACTGGCCCATTGACTTCAATGAAACACTATTAAAAATTATTCTCAATTCACTTTAATAGTCATTCTTAACTGCATCAGACCACTGATTCCACCATCATACTTTCAAGACTGAATGTTCAAACACCTTGTTTCTTGTGGTTGTAGTTTGTTGACTTCCTGATAAGCAGTATTGAATATTACCTGACATGAAAGAAAGAAGCATCTTGCAGACTTTTTTGTTAGTATCCTTTTATAATTTTTTTTTAGGTGTACAGAGAAGATGAAAAATCCAAGCTGATGTATTAAAAACAAATGGATCAACATTTGTTTGTCCTTCATGAAAGTCACATGAAAGGTCCAATATGATACAAATATGTATTTTGCATATGCTTTTTTTTTATTTTGGTGATACTTTGTTTTGTGTGGAGTTGTTTTTGGTTTGGTTTTGGTTTGCATTTTTGTTTGGGTTTTTTTTGCTTTGTTTTTTTGTTTGTTTCTGTTTGGTTTATTTTTTTTAGGAAACTGTAGAATTCTTCCATTAAATTAAACTGATGATGGAGATAATTGGAGGAATGATGAGCATGCTTGCTTTTGCCATCTTGCTTGAAACAGACTACACCTCAACTATTACTCAAATTCACGACTGAATAAGGTGTGTTGCAGTTCTAAACCACTATGCTGTACTAGAATGTTCTTCTTATTCTTCTTGGTTTTTCAGAGGGAAAATATAAATTGAACTTTTTTTCACCCACCAATCCAGATCTCAGGTTTGTTCTCTATTCAAGACATACATATGCCCTCTGATATTTATGTATTAAAATTTGCTTTGTTTGAGCTCTTCAGAGTTTGTCATTCATTTGGATTTTTTTGTTGTAACCACTGATTTAACTTGAAAGAAATCCCTCTACATGCAAGACAATTTTGCCATTTTCCTTCAGAAGCCAGACAATTTATAGATGAGCTCAGACCAAATAAATCAAGCAAGATATATTTATAGGTCTAAAATACCATATATATTAGTATATATTTTTAATCAACATCATACTGTCACTCTGAAGAAATAATTAGCTGTTAGCAGGTCATACACTTCTGCTGTCCAAGCAGACTCTGTTGCTGGTATCCAGCCTAGGACACCAGAACAGCCAGTATTCAGTCAGACAATGCATAAGGCTTGTGTTTATTAGCAATGTGGTGAGCCTTCTTTGTTTCCCTCCACTAATTCACCCGAATGAACGGTGTAACTACAATTATTTTTAGATTGTCTCCACAAGACAATGTTTACAGTAATTCTGAACAAAGAAATGGAGACACACACACGTTAACTTCAGTACTCAGTGGTGGTAAAAGACATTGACTTATCTTTGGCTCCCCAGTTCCTTTTCTTACAGCATGAACCCTTGAAAATCCTCAATTTACTTTCCAAACAAGGACTGTGTCTCAGACAGTGGTCTCTGTTTTGGGTTGACTAGATTTCTGAATATTTTGTATAAAAACCAGTGGCCTAGCATTCAAAGTTACCAGGAGAGTCAAATTCTAGTTTGTTTATAAGATAGTGAGGATTCAACCTTGGAACTCTTTAAATGTTAGTCGTAATTTTATCATCCTGCACCATCATAACTGAACCTAATAACAAATCACTGGGCATCTGCTTGCAAAACTACGTTATTTTTTTAATCATGGAATAATGTTTTTGAGCAGTCTTGGGAATCTGGAGAGGTCCCAGCTGACTGGAAGCTGGTGAATGTTGTCCTGATTTTCAAGAAGGGCAAGAAGGAGGACCATGGAAATTACAGGCCTGTCAGTCTCACTTCAGTGCCTGGTATGGAAGTTATGGAGATTATTCTGGGAAGTATTGAAACACACATGCAGTCACTGGTCACAGCCATCACGGCTTCATGAGAGGAAAGTCCTGCTTATCAAACCTGATTTCCTCTTATGACAAGTTAACCCACCTAGTTGATCAACAGAAGACAGTTGATGTAATCTTTTTGGATTTCAGTAAAGCTTCTGATACTCTCTCACAGGATCCTTCTGGACAAACTGTCCAGCACACAGATGGATAAATACACCATGTGCTGGGTGAGCAACTGAGTCAGGGGTCAAGCACAGAGGGTAATACTGAATGAGGTGACATCAGACTGGTGACCTGTCACTAATGGGGTTCCACAGGGCTTCATCTTGAGCCCCGTGCTCTTCAACATCTTCGTAAGTGACTTGGATGCAGGACTGAAAGGGATACTAAGCACATTTACAGATTACACAAAACTGGGAGGAGCTGTTGACTCCCTCGAAGTCAGGGAGGCTCTGCAGAGAGACCTCGACCAATTACAGGACTGGGCAATCACCAACCACATGAAGTTCAACAAGGGAAAGTGCTGGATTCTGCACCTGGGATGGGGCAAGCCTGGATGTTTGTACAGACTGGGGAATAAGATGCTGGAAAGCAGTGCCACAGAAAGGGACCTGGGGGTCCTGGTTGAGGAAAGTTGAATATGAGTCAGCAGCACCCGGGCAGCCAGGAAGGCCAACCGTGTCCTGGGGGGCATCAGGCAAAGCATCATCAGCCGGTCGAGGGAGGGGATTTTCCTGCTCTGCTCTGCACTGGTGTGGCCTCACCTTGAATATTGTGTGCAGTTTTGGGCATTGCAACATAAGAAGGTTATAAAGCTATTAGATGTGTCCAGAGAAGGGCAATGAAGATGGTGAAGGGCCTTGAGGGGAAGCCGTGTGAGGAGTGGCTGAGGTCACTTGGTCTGTTCAGCCTGGAGAAGAGGAGACTGAGAAGAGACCTCATCACAGTCTACAACTTCCTCATGAGGGGAAGAGGAGGGGCAGACACTGAGCTCTTCTCTGTGGTGACCAGTGACAGGACCCAACGGAATGGCCTCAAGTTGTGTCAGGGGAGGTTTAGGTTGGGTATTAGAAAGAAGTTCTTCACCCAGAGGGTGGTTGGGCACTGGAACAGAGGATGGTCCTGCGCAGGGCCAAGAGTTGGACTTGATGATCCTGATGGGTCCCTTCCAACTTGGGATATTCTGATTCTGTGATTCTGTGAATGTGTGTATGATAAAAAGCAGAATATCAAAATGGAGTTCATACCTAAAAAAATATTGTTTGATAATTTCAAAGGTACATTCAAGTTAGCATGTATATCACATGTATATAGTATATTTGTTTTTTCACCTTTTTTTTCTTTCCTCAATGCTTATTTTCCTTGAAAACTACATTAAGAGATATTTAAAGATCTTCCTAACAATGAAGACAACATATATTTTAAACTCTAGACATTAAATAATTTAACTCCAGCTGTGTGTGATCCACAAACCAAACAGCACCATATGAATGCATGTACACAGTTTATTACAGATTACAGGACTTACAAGTAAAAGGAAGACAGAATGATTTGCAATGTCAAGCATCATCTGTTATAACAATAGGTTTGAAGAGTTTAGAGTCTCTCAAAAGTCAAAATATTTTCCATTATTCCCACCCATAGACTCTTCTTCACCTAAAAAGCAAATGTAAAAGAGTAACATTACTGGAAGTACCAAGGATTCATAATAAGAATATTCTGAAAGCTGAGAATATTATTGATATTTAAACTGAATATTTCTTCTTCCTATCTTTGAAGTATTATTAGTGCATACCGTAAAAAGTAAGGGGTACAATGACTTCAAGAAAAATCTTAATCTTGGTTTTTTTTCTACTTCAGGTATTTGATATATCAGTTTTAGTAATTTTATTAATTTGAGATTTTTTTGTATATAATATCTTCTTTATTATGAAGATTTTCACCCCTTGTACTTCTCCATAACCTAAAAGCAGTTGACTAACATTGATAAGAATCAAAAGTTCAGCTTTAGGAAGAGTAATAAAGTATAGTATGTTCTAGATAAAACTAATCACTGTGCTTGGTTGGCATATAGTGAAGGACTGGATACACAGATAAGTTGTTATGGAATTGATGGCACAGAAAATAGTGTAGGCCATAAATAACATTCTTCAAGATAAAATTATAACTTTTAAATTAATTCAGTGCTTGCCTTTGAATACTGAAAGAATTACTGCTATATGATCTGGATATCCCAAAAAACATTAAAATTTTACTTGTACCTGTTTGATAGTTTTTATCTACATGTGGTTTTATTATTTTAGGATGAAATATAGATTTAGTTCAGTTAAAGGAAGTGATTTTTTCTTTTTTTTTTAATGAAACTTCTCATGATGCTATAGTCAGACAAAAACATTTCTTAAAAAAATTGTTGCAGAAATTGAGAAGCTGAGGAGATGATAGTAATTATTAAAAGTTGCAACTATAAATAAAATCTAACATTGTGCAGATGTTGTTGCTGCTGTTGTAATATCTACTTGCATGGATTCTCGATATTTCTTCTTGTTCCAGACTAAAAAGGCCAAATCTATATCAAACAAAATATGCTTGAAGATCTGTAGGGGTTTTTTTCCAGAATAAAGGACATATTTCAAAACAAATGATAGCAGGAGTTCCCTTGCTTTTTCTTCCCTGTTATGTACAGAGAAGAAATAAGTGATGCCCTTAGCAATTGATAACTTTCACCAAGCAGTCCTACTGAAGGAGCAGAAATGCAGTCATTACTGGCTGTCAAGTTATTAAAAGTAAATGAGTATCCATTTTGTGGCAAAAATAAAAAAGGTACAATAAAACTTCTTTAATTAATTTTGAACTAAGACAAATTATAATTTTCTTCCAGTAGACATCCATATCTACCCAAACTAGAGATACTCTAAAGCCAAATATATGTTGCCTCAATGTGCAATGAAGAGAACAATGGCTTAATTCTGTAATACTTAAAACATATATTGATGACCAGGAAATCACATTATGTGTTTTCTTCAGAGAGTCCAGAGAGTCCATCCAATATGTTGCCAACACCTAATAGATTTGAGACTCAAAAGTCACAGAGATGTCTTCTATGTTATCCAGTCATGAGTATAAAAATCAGATAACGTGATACACTGTGTAAAGCGAAGAACGCTAGGCAGCCTTCCTAAGTTCCAGCGAATGAACTAATCAACTTTATTTAGACAAAAACTACAGTCCAGTACTTTCTGATAATGAAAATACACTTTGAAGTGGCGAGAATACTTACAACCGAAGAACAAAAAAACCAACAGAGAGAAATGCAAGTAAAATGGATGGAGGTCTGTCAAGTGAATAAAGCTACCTCTTTAAGCTGTCTGATAGACATGTAAAAATACTAGAAAGGTTTGTATTTTAATACAAGAAAGTTTGAAATTGAAAGAGTAAGATTTGAGATGTGTTTGAACTTTGAAGATCATCTGTGAGTATGCTCGATACTTGAATTTTTTGATTTTAAAAGAAAAAAAAAAAGAAGAAAAACTTTGGACAATCATCTTCTTCCCAGGAAGAACTCAAACTGCAGAATAATAAATAGTCATAAATAAGAATGGTACTTTGTTAGAAATTCCAATGCTTGAACAAAGATGCATTTTCAGACAGGCTAGCCTGTATTCAAGTCTTTGGCACATATATATCCTTATAAGTTTTGATTATTTTTGGAAAAACACTAAGACCAAAGATCAGAGTATTTATTTCTGACTTATATGTATGCTTGAAGTTTCAGAAGCTGTTAGCAGAGCCACAGATCTACATGGCTGCCCACCTGGGACCATGCTACACAGGAACATAATGCGCTGTCTTCAATGAGTGGAAAAGTAATGCTTTTATAAAACAGAAGAAAAACACCCCACTGACTATGGAGAAGCATGGCTTTAAGGACTTAGCATAGCTTTAAACTGTACTGGATGCAACTTGGACAGTAAGGGAGGAGATACAGGCATGGGTAGTCTTGTGAACATTCTTGTTCAATGTTCATTGCTGCATGACTCAACAGAGCACTGATGGTTGCTACCAAAGAAGAAAGGCTACAGTAGACTGTACTAGGCTTGTCTGAAAGAACTCTGAGTGAAAGCTCAATGCTTTTTTTTGCCGTATGTATAATTAACTTGGATTTGTTCATCAAAAAATTATTAGGAAAAAGAGAGCATGTTTCTTCTGTTTATCTTTTTCTGTTTCTTCTGAATTAAAAGAGAATGACTACTTAGTAAGGGAAAGGGTAAGAATCATCCTCTAAGAGGAATCAAAAACCTTGAGCTACCTACTGATCCTGTCTTTTCAGGACACACCAACAGCTGCTTCTTCAAATTATTGTGGTTTGGGAGCACTGACAGAGGCTAAAAATAAATGTAAATAAATAAATAAAAGGGAAAAGTATGTTGACTATCCCTGTGTTCTTTTAAAGTTTCATTTATCTTACAGATGAGTAGAACCAAAAATCTGAATGTAGTGAGAACAAAAGATAATATGTTGGCATCTCTTAGAAGCCCTGGAGATAAAAAAAACCTTAACTGATTTGGTTTTCCACTTTCTAGAATTAAGCTGTGTGGTATGAATCAGGTTTTTGAGAAGGTGGAAGCAGCACAATTTAGTTGTGGTTTCTATGACCCTAATTTGATGTCAATTTGATGTCAAGCAGATTACTCTACTTTGGAGGCATAAGACTGATCTTGAAGACAATGGAAATGGATACACAGGTGCTAAAACTGCCTGGAGGAACATCACGGGTTAGACACTCTGGAGAAGCAAGTAGAGTCTGAAAAAAATGAGCTGGTTATCTCTCAATCTGCTGGAGGTGCTAGAGAATTTGTGGGGGATCAACACTGCAGGAAATGTCTAGTGCTAAGAAATAACTCATTCGCTAAAATTTGTGGCCAGAGCAAAGTACACAATACTGGAGAAATTGACTTTAATACTGATGTTCCAGCCTTGGAAAATGAGTTGTCCTCTGTCATTACACGGTGGGCCACAGGTGCTCTTTTGCTTTCACATAGAGAGCAAATTATGCAATCTGATAATCATGATACTCCTTTCTGAGAAAGCTTCATTGGTCAGAACATGCCTACGTACATACTTCTGGGTGTGTAAGCAATGTATCAGTCTTTCTCCACTGTGGACTCCCCATGCTTGAAAGGCTCTCAGCTGCCGGTACCAATGAATGAGATCCTTAGATTAGCCTCAAACCTTCACTGCATTTTCCCAATGGCAGCACAGTGTGCTAATCGCTGAGCCATTGGGATAGCCCTGTAGGGTATTCTTCTAATAGTTTTTCTAGTTCTTCCACTGATGTCCTTATACATCTTTTATGATCTCGATAGTGATGCTACTTTCCCCAGGCACTTTTCTTCTATCTTACTCTATGCTTGTTTTTTTTTTTTTGAATGCAGGGGGAAGGGGCAACCTTAAACTTGCCCTTCATTCCTAGAGCAACCTTTCAGAAAAGACATTTCCCTCATCTACTCTTCCAACCCTGAGTGCATGTCAAGGAATGGTGAAGATGGAAAATATTTCAGTCTTTCCATTTAAGTTGTGATGGTCTTTTTCCTGACTTCATGTTCTGTTTAGAGTTTTTTCTTCTAAACAGAAGAACAGACAGTGTTTTTGTATTTAAAATTAAACTCCAAATATTTTCTTTAAACTGCACTCATTGGGTTCACAAAGAAATGAAAACAAAATACAGCACGTGACATCATTTGAAAGAGCAAATTTTGTTATCATATATAGTTCTAGAAATAAACTGTGTTTTTTTAACTGTGGCTCTTCCCTAATATGCAGTGCTGATAAATAGTAAAAAGGAATTCTTTCCTAACTAAATATTTCTCTCACATTATACATATATAAATTCCTCTGGGAATAACTTGAGCAATATAACTTGAGATAGGAGGTAGCTGATATATGTGAGGTATTAATATGAAAAATATTTTCACTGCATGTATGTTATAAAGCTCTTGGAATATTACAGGTAATAAAAATATAGGCCAGTTAAAGACTTTCCGTATCCCTGTTTTGCTCATAATTTTTTTCCTGTAGGTTCATCTTTTGTTTTCTTCTCATCTATTATTTTCCGTTTCCTTCTCATCTTACATTCACTATTATTCAGGGCACCTTTTGAGGAGCTGCTTCTGCTTCCAAATGATGATACATATTGGTAGCAGCAACCAAAGCAACAGTCAGTGAACACTTGTAGAGATGGTGAGTTGTAAAATAATAAATCAAATATTTAATACTTAGACAGAAGATGTGGACTTTATCTACACTTAATGGGTGGGGAGGCTGATTACTCATTCATAGCTACACCACTTGTGAATGATGAGGTCACCCCTATCTCAGGAAGATAAATGCCATATCCTGTTATGACATATTCCTTTTATATAAAATTAGTTCAATTTTCTCACTAGTGAGGAATCAGTATAACTAAAAAAAAATCACTTCAAGATAAAGGCATTTTTCTATTGTAATTCATTATATATCCTATTTTCATTTTATTTCTGTTCTGTTTTGTTCTATCTTATCCTGTTCCGCGTATACTATTTTACTCTCTACCTAAATGATATCTGACTAAAGTGAAGCAAAAATTAGACGATACAATGAAGCTTTGTAGCATTCTCCCTCATACCTGTCACAGGCTCCTTCCAACAGCAGATAATGAAAATTCAAAGTCAAACCGTTTAACTTTAAGTAAATGGAAATGAATTTCCATCGAAGAGATATTTTTTCACCTGTGAAAGAAAGGAACAGTAGTACACTGACAATGGGAATAAAGATATAACATATAATTGTGATAGAGTGGTATATGAAAAGCATAAATATTGAATGTTATTGTATTACACACTGTCATGTGTTTTTAATTTTTATCTTTACTGTGTTTTTGCCTAAGAAAGGAAAGTCTACAGGACATAGTTAGAAACAGAAGCACTTTATTAGGATAATTCTTTTCTTAATCAATACTAAAGCAACTTGCAGCATATCTTGCAATAGTATATGGTATTGAGACAAAAACTATGTCGCTCAGACACCAGAAGCTGTCAATAATTTTATCAAAGTAAGAAATAAACTAAATTAAAAATATTGGGGTTTATTCTCATCTCATTTCCTCTAGCATGCTGCATCAAATTAATTTAAATCCATCATGGTATGTTTTATCACTGGTGAAATATGTAGCAAATTGGGTCCATGCTATTTAATATGGCACAGAGTATAAGCTTGATGATGGATATTTTCATCAGTGTATAAAACAAGTCTCAGAAATTCCTACTGGATTTTACCACTGTGATTAATTTTTGGGGAAAAAAAGATACAAGCAATCAAAATGGACTTTTCTTCAAATATGAGACAATGTTTTTTATTTGATATCTTTAAGAGTTATGACAAAGAAAATGCTTCTGTATTCTATAGACATTCGCAAACCTACCTTTGAATCCTGTTCATCTTCTAACATACAAAACTATTTGCAAGTGGTTCCAGTGACTCAGTGGGTTTACTTGTGCAAGCAAAGTTATCCAGACTGACTTTCTGTTCACATTAACACTTAAGATATTAATCAATAGTCATAAAAGATCTTATTAAATATCAGAGATCCTGGTTCTGCCTACACAGATGAAAAGCAGTGACTCTCGAGACTAAGCTGAAGCAAGGTTGGCTAAAAGCAGGCTCTCTGTCCTGGCTGTCTCTTTGAAACATGAAAATCTGCTCAGAGTTGCTACTGTAGAGCAAAGAGTGACAATCAGTGGATGGGGACTTCGACATGATTACATCCACTCTACTGCCTGGCCATACATTGACAGACAAAACTACTGTAATGGAGTGATCATTTGGAAAATGGCTACTGCCCACATTTAAATTCCTTTCAGTGTTATTCCATAGCCAATTAGAGTGGTAGCCCAGCCTATATTCATGCCAGTCTTGTACTATAATGTAAGAAAAAGGAAAGGAGCAGCTCAGAAGTCTTTAATTATTCCTCCAGCCATTTATTGACCTGCTCTCTAAAGGCCATATACGGGCCTTCATCTGCATGCAAAATTCCTATTGACATCACTGGGAGGGCCACAGGCAGATGGAGGGTTACTTTGTAAACCTTACATTTTAAACATGTTGTAAGAGAAAGGCACAGAATTGTCAGTCCTTAAAAAAGTGAGCAGCTTTATCTAATATTTGTCTTTAAACATGGAGTTTGAATAACATTTTTCCTAGCAATAACATCCCCCCCTCTTCTCTGCAAGCTATCTAACCTACACGTTTCTGTAAAGTCTTCGTATTTAACACTCAAACAATTGATGTCCCTATAGTATAAACAGGATAGATAATGAATATAAGTGGGATAGAAAATTAATCCTACTTGCGAGGAAAGAGAGTCATAATTCACTTAGGCTTCTCAGCTCTTACGTTATGAGGTCTTCAGCTAACTCATGGGATCCATTCCACATCCCACAGATGCTCATTATGAATTCTTTTTATGTGCAACATGTGGGGACTAACCAGTTTCATATCTCCTGGTATTAGCTGCAATACAAAGCATTTTGTATTAAAACAGAATGCAAACACAGATGTTATTTAATACAAAGGATTTGAATGCAGTCTCTGTTTTAACATAAAGTTGGTGTGTCTTAATTTGCTTTGGAACAGCAATGGACAGAAAAGTCAAGATAAGAGAATACTGTTAGATTAGGAGCCAAGCTATGATTCCAAAAGGCACACAGTTGCATGGGAAAAGGGGAGACTAGCCCAGGTGATAGCTTTGATTCATGGAAGCAAAGGTTACAGTGCCTGGGACATCTGCCCCCTTCTAAGATGCTGTCATAGCCTTTCCAACACTAAGCATACTCTGGAGTGTTGCTACCTGTGTTCTGTCCCATGCAACTCCTCTAGGTACGAGCCTCGGTTTCCTCAGAAACGGTGTAGCATCAAGGCTGCTATTTGTGCAAGGTGCACTAACACAGTGTGTTACTTTCTTTTCTAGCTGTCCACTCACTAGTCTGGTGAAAGGTTCAGTTCTTCTCCACATGCACTACACTTCTTAGCTCCGGCAATCAGCAACTTGGCTTCCAGGGCCGTGGTTTTCGAGTCACCCCAGAAGCTGGGAGGTCTAGTGAGACCCTATTGCGGGAGGGAGTCCCCTTTTCTCCCGTTCCTCTGCTGACCCTGACGCGGCACAGCCGCTATGCTCCCTGTGGGACGGGCTCCTCGCCCCTCGACTCCCCCTGCGGCTCCGAGAGGAGGGAGCGCGGAGTGCAGCCCCGGCAGCTCCCTCCGAGCACCATGGCGAGGAACCCTCGCGTCTCCGTGCCCACTCCCACCGCGGCTGCAGCTCTCAAAGCTGAAGCAAGGAAGGGGAGACACCGGGGGAAGGACGAGACAGCGGGGCTGTCCGCCGCCGACCCGCGCTCCCGCCCAACTTTCCTCGCTTCCTTCCCAGCGCCCACCCCCGCGCAGCGCCGCGGCCAGGCGGGCTCGGCGGCGGGCGGCCCGGCCGGGGCAAAAGCAGGGGCAGTAGCGCGGTCCCGGCGGGCTGGCGGAGGCGCGCAGCACCGCGGCCCGGGATAAGCATTTGGCAGAGGTGGAGGAGGGCAAACCCGCCCGAGCGGGGGGCAGAGGGGGCTCCGCGCAGCCCCGGGTGGCACAAAGGCGCAAAGGCGCTGCGGCCGCGCGTCCCGCGGGGGCGGCGGAGGCCGAGCCCCTCCGCGCCGCTGCCGGTGTGGTGCGTGCCGCGCCCGGAGGGGAGCTCTGCGAGGGGGCTCTGCGCACCGGCGGTATAATTGATATGTTGAAGCAGCAGTAGGGATCAGTGCGTCCACAGACAGCACACACCTTACAAGTTTGACTCGCAATAACATTGCTGCACACTAGGAGGGGAGGAGAGTCAGCTCCCTAGAATAAGGAACGAACTCTGCCTTTGCACAAAAGCGGCTCATTTCCTCGCCTGTGAAAACCGTCCCTTCATAGAGAGAAAGAAAAGGGAAGGGGGGTGGGGAGCAAAAGCAAGTTACCAAGAGCAAGAACTTGTGCTGCAACAATCCTCCACTCTTCCTCTTCTCCTCAGGCCTCTGGGAGCAGGGATATTCCTCCCCCTCCCCCCCCCGCACAGTTGGCGCTAGCCCAGACTGTGGTCAGCCGCCTTTATTATTACTTCATTGAGACACAGAAATCCTCTAAGACTTGCATTTTGGGTGGAGGGTGGGGGGTGGAGGGACGAGAAGGAGGAGGGAAAAAAGGCAACATTTGCTGCTCATCATTTTCACTGCACCGCTAAAGTAATTGCGCCCCCCCTCTCTCCTCCCCGTCCCTCCTCGGCTTGGATTTTTCTCCTATATCTACAGCTCCAGCAGTATAAGACATACCTTTTTTTT